ACTTACAGATTAGAGCAATAAAGGATTTGGAAGAATGGAATCAAATTAGAAAACAGGGCTAAGGTTCTACTATATAAATTGATAACAAAATATAGAGCACTTTTGAAATGATTTTTTTAGTTTTTATTTTAAAATAATTATAGCTTCACAGGAAGTTGCAAAAACAGTAACGAGAAATCCCATGCACTCTCCATCCAGTTTCTCTCAGTGCATCTTGCATCACTATAGCTCAGTATCAAAACTAGGAAACTGACAGTGGTCCCATAGACCTTACTCAGATTTCACCAGTTTTATATGGATTTAGAGCATGTTTTGAAAACTAAATTATATAACACTTGATTCAAAACACTTGAAAATTTAACATGAAGCTCTTACGAAAACCTGATGTAAAGATAAGGGAAAGGAGATATGTATATTGTAGTTTTAGTTTATTAAGGATATTTTGAGATATTAGTTGTCTTTTAAGCATTTGTAAACATACGTGTCTATACTATATTATATAAATCTAGTCTCAATATTTATTTTATGATATGATACTGCATTTCTTGAATTATACTGAAGAGTTTTGAAGTACCTATATTTCTTCAAAATCACTTTGAGAGGCTCAGGAAAGTCAGTATCTGTTCTCTTCTATATTATACTATTTAATTCAGAAGGCATAATTGGAAATCAAGGCAGAGTTTATTCAAAAACACCACCAAGAAAAAAATGGATATTCAGTTAGAAATGACAGCACTTTTTAAGGGTTTTTTTGTTTGTTGTTTATTTTTGTTTAATCCCTTCACCTTTTTCACCTAGTCCCAAAATCCCCCACACTTTTCTTTCAGAAATCTTTTTGAGGCCTTGAGGTGGATAGTCAGTAAACTGGCATCTTTGATCTCTAACTTCAGTCAAAACATAAGGACCCAAATCTACAGTTTCTGAATAAGTCTGGGTGTAATTCTCCTCTTTGGGAGTCGATGGCTTATCTTGGGCTACCATGCTAATGTTTGTTATATTAGGACAACACAGGGTGCACAGCATCTGATGCCATTCCTGCTGACTGAGGATGTGCTGCTGGGAATGGTGGTGCCTTTTCTAACATCTGTGCTCTGATGGAATTCTTATCCCAGTGTTATTTGCCATATTTTCTTGATTCAGAAATGCTATGGTAGAGAGAATATTATTTCAAATAACTTTACAAATGAAATCATTACATAATTTTCAGTTGTAACCTCTGTTTAGAAAGTAAAAGATAGAGCCTGTTCCCTATGAGATTTCACTTTTCAGGCAAATGATCTGTATATTGGAGTTGGATTGACTTCAGGGTTATGAGAGGCAAGGGGATTTTTGTCAACTAAATTTGCATTTTTATCGTCTGTTTTTATTTTATTCTAATAGGGAGATTTGGCAGATTCTTTTTTCATTGTAGAATCTGGAGAAGTGAAAATTACTATGAAAAGGAAGGTAAGTGTTCTAAAAAAAAATCTACATATTAGCTAAGAACATAATTTTCTTTTTGATGTTTAGACTAAGGTTAACTTCTTTCACTACACTGAGTAAAAGCTGATGCTTCTAATTACCTTGTCAGGGTAAATCAGAAGTGGAAGAAAATGGTGCAGTAGAAATCGCTCGGTGTACTCGGGGACAGTACTTTGGAGAACTTGCTCTGGTAACTAACAAACCTCGAGCAGCCTCTGCACACGCCATTGGGACTGTCAAGTGTTTAGGTAAGAATCACGACAGTGGGCATGCTTCTCCTGGTTGAAATTTTCTGTCTGCATTTTATGTATCCATGTTGTACAAATTAATTTATTGGGTCCACAGGTTTTATAGTCCCCACAAAATATAACAACGGAAACATTCATTCATTGCATTATAAAATCAGTTGTGGAAGCCATTTTTGTCTTTTAAAAAATGTCATATATATATATATATATATGTATGTATGTGTATATAGTGTTCTTTTTTATAGGCATGAAATAACATCTTATTTTAATGTAACAATTCTGAGTACCAAGTTTTATATCTGATTTTTCAAATAAATAACATGCACTATGTTCTTCAAAAAAGAAGGCTAAAACAATATTTTTATAAAGTGAATTAAGCTCTGTGGAGAAAGTTGGAATGTCTGTGGGAATACTTACTCTAGTCCCGGACAACATGTGTTCAAGTTGTCAAAGCACAACACAGTTTTCTTTATTATTTAACTTTTTAATTACCTCCTTATATTATATAGTAGTTAGGCATAAATCCCATTTTCTGCTGGAAGATGAAATTTTAAATGAGAAATAACTTACTTTAATAATGAAAAATATAATTCAGACCTTAGCCTGTTTGGCTCAGCTGTTAGAGCGTCAGCCTGCACACTGAAGGGTCCTGGGTTCGATTTTGGCCAAGCGCATATATCTCAGTTGCAGGCTCGATCCCTGGCCCTGACTGGGGCATGTGCAGGAGGCAACAAATTGATGTTTGTCTCTCTTTGTCTCCCCACACACACCTCTCTCTCTCAAAAGCAATGGAAAAAATATCCTTGGGTAAGGATGAAAACCCCCAGAAAAATATAATTCAGGTGATATCACTATAGATGACATTTTCTTTTTAAAAAATGATTCAATAATAGGATCCCTTATCCTTGAGACAGCATGGTGGGACCTGGAGAGTATTACGTTAAGTGAAAGAAGCCAGTCAGAGAAAGACAAGTATCACATGATCTTACTCATGTGGAATCTAATGAACAAAATAAAGTGATAAACAAAATAGATCCAGAGACATAGAAGCGTGGAACAGACTGACGAATCTCAGAGGGAAGGCAGGGGTTGGGGGGTGGGGTGGGGAGAGATTAACCTAAGAATTTATATGCATATATGCATAACCCATGAACACAGACAGTAGTGTGGTGAAGGCCTGTGGGGGAGGGGGTGTAGGGCAGAGGGGATCAATGAGGGGAAAAGGAGACATTTGTAATACTTTGAACAATAAAGGTAAATTTTTTTTTTAAATGATTCAATAGTAATTAGCCACTCTATTCTCTTCATCCACAGTTTAGTAGAAAAACTGAACTTCAGTGTTCTTGAGATGAGCTAGTATTCTCAGAATTAACTTCTTAGAAAAGTCACTTTAATTAATCAAGTATTTTGGATAAAAGAGAAGACAGAACTGATGTAATTTCCTTAAGTAGAGATATTAGACAGTAAGAGTAAAGATGATGTGAGTGAAAGCCTATTAATTTTTTTCTATAACATATTATATTCACGTTAAAGAAAATCTGAGAAATACAGAAAAGGTAGGAAAAACTAAGAAACACTCATACCACCACAGCCTAGTGACTTCCTTATTATAGTTCCTCCTCTTTTATTTGCATGGGTTTTCCGTTTTGTTTTTTAACTTAAGCAGGTAAGTTTAATGATCAAAACAAAACAAAATCAATTAGCAAAAATTCCAGACTTTGTGGTCACCCATATTTTAATATTTAAGATTCAACTATTGTAAGTCTTATAAACATTTCTGCCCTTTATAACAGAAAAAATGAACACACAAAAATGAGATAATGTCTGGTCGGTGTGGCTCAGCGGTTGAGCGTCCACCCATGCTCCAGGAGGTCCTGATTTGATTCCCCACAGGTTTTCGGGCTGAATCCCCAGCAGGGGAAGTGCAGGAGGCAGCCGATCGATGTTGATGTTTATGTTTCTATCTCTCTCTCTCTCCCTTCTTCTCTCTCTAAAATCAATAAAAACGTTTTAAAAAAAAGAGATTATGGAAAAACAAAAATTGATTGCTTTTGCTTTCAAATAGTTCTACACCAAAACATTTTGCTGAAGTGATTTTTAATCTATACAAAACAGACTCTAAATGATACTCAGGATACATTACCAATTTGGTTTTAAAATAGATTTGAACTTAAAACAAGTTTTACTCACAACGATTTCAATAAATCGAGCACTCCAGAACACAATGTCGAGGTGCAATAATTACATGATGACTTCTTAATAGTCCAAAGGGATGAAAATATTTTTCAAGTATGGAAAGAAATTAAATCTTTCTATAGTATTAACCCCTAAGGACTATTTTCCTTTATAGACTACAATACTGTTGTCAGTTTCATATACTTTATAAAGAATTCCCACAGGAAGAAATTTCTGGAGGTTTTCCCAGATATATACAGCTACGTTTTCTGTCATACTTACAACATCTGCAAAGTATGGCACATGTAGATCCAGATTCTTTTAATTTTTATTGATTTTATTTTTTTTTTTTTTAGAGAGAGAAATATCAATTTGTTGTTCCACTTATTTATGCATTCATTAGCTGATTCTTGTGGCCTGACCGGGATTCGAACCTGCAACATAGGCATATGGGGAGGATGCTCCAGCCAACTGAGCTCATGGCCTGGGCCTAGATCCAGATTCTTATGATCAGGGGGCCTCATAATTGCCTCTTCCATATACCCTTTGAGGTCGGTCAAATTCATAACCATTCCTGTAATAGGATCAATCTTTGTAATTGTGCCCATGACCATTTGGTTTGTTGCATTTCCCAAAGAGTTTCAAGTTTTCTTGTTTTAAATAATTTTGTAAACTGCTTTTTTCATTCATTATAGCTTAAGCACGTTCTCATTTTATTACATCAGTTTGTAACATTCTACTAGGGTAATATATTAGCCCATTATAAACTATTTAATGATCCCCCACTGGTAAATATTTTGAGGGTTTTGGCTCCATTTGGGGAGGTGCTTTATTTGATGTGCATGGACTACTTTTCCATACAGAGGATTTTTCCTTAGAAATGGTTTTTAGAAGTGGGTTTTCTTTTTACAGCTTTTGATATATATTGCCAAATCACTTTTATTTGTACCAATTTACATGCTACCAGCAGTGCAAGAATGCCCATTCGCTCTTTTTGTAAACACTGCTTTTACCTTTTTGAAAGGCAAAAAAAAAGTATTTTAATTTGTAGTCCTGTGGGTAGAGACTGTGATCATATTTTCCATGTGTGTATTATAAATTTAGTTTTTAGAAATTCATGAGACAGGCAAGCAAAGTGACATATAACATATAGTGATAGAAGTGGACAAAAGCATTATTATGGTTGTCATTTTTAAGTGACTAGACAATAGTATGAGAGTGAAATGATAAAAGGTAACATTTGGTCTTCTAAACTTGATATTGTACACTCTGAGGGAAAATAGAAAACACTCCCTTGCCATCTTTGAGGAGTTTATATTTACTCAAGTGATGACATTATAACTATTTTTTTTTTTATTTCAAGGACTTGCCCTTGACAGTCCCTCATCCTTTTCTCAACCTGGATCAGGAACCTCCCACCAGCCTCACATTGCACATCATATTGCCAAGGGACTCTACTTCCTTTTAAAGTGGAACATTTTTATCTTTATGCCTTTTTCTTGTATATTTATGTAATAATACCATTGCATTATTGACATATGCAGAATGATATCATAAATGACTCAGAAGTGCTGCAGATTTTCAAAGAATGTTACTCATTTTTCTTTTACTCTCCCCTTTTCTTAGCCATGGATGTGCAAGCATTTGAAAGGCTTTTGGGACCTTGCATGGAAATTATGAAAAGGAACATTACTACCTATGAAGAACAATTAGTTGCTCTGTTTGGAACAAACATGGATATTGTTGAACCCACTGCATGAAGCACATGTATGGAGCAAGAAGACCTATAGTGACAAAATTGCACAGTAGTGGTTAGTCCACTGAGAATGTGTTTGTGTAGATGCCAAGCATTTTCTGTGGTTTCCAGTTTTTCCTTTTTTTACATTTACAATGTATCAGTAAACAGAGTAGTAATTTAATAGGCAATAGGCTTTAACATCATTTCTAAAGAATAGATCATAAAAAATATCAACATACGAATAAAATGATTTTCTACTCAACAAAATTTACTGAAAGGTTTATTCAAATGATTGTAATATACTGAAAGTATCTGTGTTTAAGAAGCTAATTAAAGGATGTTATCATAGGTAATTTGTGTTTGTTTTGACTTACTCAGAATGATGTGTCACTGACTGTGCCCATGTAAGAGGGAACTTGGCAATGAATCATGCTATACAGCATGGCGTCACATTCTTTTTACAACTCGTTATATATATAGTAAGTACAATTTTAATTGTTTTTCTTTTAAAGTTTTTGTGGCTTGATAAGTTATATGCTGGCCTTGGCCTATTGGTGGAATGATATAAAACATCATATGCAATTTAAAAACCTTTTATATTTTTGCAATAAAGTACATTTTCACTTATTTGGCATAGCCAGTGGTTTTAAGAACAGGCAATTTAGTCATTGTAATAGAGAAGAGTCTTTTTTAGATGATAGATCATTAACACTTTCTCACAGAGCATATATCTCTGCTTCCTTTTTCATTTGCAATTCTTTGTATTATTTATCTTTAAAATTTTGAGTTTGACATTTAATGTCACAAAGTTTTTTTTGAAAAGCTATTTAAATTTACTTGTCTTCTAAAAGTTTAAGGTCTTATATATAGTACAAAAAAAATCTCCAATATCAAAAATAATTTGGGGTTCTTACCAATGCCTACAGGATATTTTTGTTCTTCATTTAGTATCCATAATAGCTTTCTTTCAGACATCTGCTCCCACAGGGTTCCTCCAAGGTAGTACAAACAAATTTTTATAAACAAAATCAGATGCAAAGATAAAAGGAATTTCTGCCTGTTCCAAATGTACCATTAGACCTTGCCCTTTGCTTTAATGTAGACTCATAGTTAAAAGTGCAGAATGAGCTCAACCAGAACAGATTTTCATTGATAACTGATATACTTATTTTTGGCTGCATAAAATGAATTCTGTTGAACCATAGCAGTATAGCCTTACATTTCTAGCCTACGTGACCCCAATGTCTAGAGAGATTAATTCTAACCAGTTCACTTTTAAACAAGCAATTCCATTTTGGGAAACATGTTTTAAAGAAATATATACATAGGTGAAATTATTCTGTGGCTAGTGTGGTCATATTAGAGAATGTTTATGGTCTTACTTGTATAATGAAAATGTGGTTAAAAAATGTTAACCAAGATTTTATATATATATATATATATATATGTATATGTATATGTATATGTATATGTATATGTATATGTATATGTATATATATATATGAAGTTAAAGTATGTAAAGCATAACTTCAGCCACATTTTAAAACACTGTTTAACAATTTTGCAAACTTTCATGTAGGAAGAGAGTTTACTAAATGAAGATTACTTGTTTTCTTTTTTTTTTTTTTCCCTTTTTTCTTTTTTGTAGGCTGGGAGGTATCCAGTCATCTCCCCTAGCCTATGTTTCAATGTCCCAAAGTTTAACAGAACAGGGAAGCTGCCCTGAACTGAACTCAACATTTTGGATAAGATGACTTTTCTGTTTAATTTTATTTTAAAAGCCATGTTAATAAAAAACACACAGAACCCCAGATTTCTGGTTTATCATTCTGTATTCTCTATTTACTCTTTCAGGTTACCTATTTTGTTGCATAAGCTCATTGCTATCCATGGAATAGTAAAAACTGCCTGTTTAATAAAGAACTCTGAGGCCGTAAATGCCAGTTACATTATTTTCAGTATTGTTGGTTATATTTAAATTTTCCTTATAATAAAGCACACTTTTATAATAAACTATAATTGTGTTTAATGAAGATTTTTTTTTTTTTTGCTTTTTTTTTTTAATCCTCACCTGAGGAGATAAAATATATATATATATTCTGTGGCTAGTGTGGTCATATATATATATATTTTTTTTTTTTCTTTTTTTAACTGATTTTAGAGAGGGAGGAAGTGGGTGAGAGAGATATCAATGTGAGAGAGATACAGGTTGCCTCCTGTTTGTGCCCCAACTAGGGATTGAACCTGCCACTTAGGTATGTGCCCTGACTGGGAATCAAACTTGTGACCTTCTGGTGCACAGGACAGTGCTCTGAGTCACACTGGCCATGGCCCAAGGATGTGTTTTCATTGACTTTTTTTTTTTTAGGGAGAGACACAGGTTGGGGGGGGAGATTGATGTGAGAGACATACATCGATCAGTTGCCTCCCATTTGCACAACAACTGGGGATCAAACCCACAACATTTTGGTGCACAAGACGACACTGCAACCAACTGAGCCACCTGGCCAGGGATGGCTTGTTTTTTTCTTGGTTTTGTTTTTGTGTTTTTAGTATTTTATTGATTTCAGAGAGAGGAAGGGAGAGAGAGAGAAAAATTGATGAAAGAGAGACATTGATCAGCTGCCTCCTGCATGACCCCTGCTGGGGATTGAGCCTATAATCCGAGTNGAAAAATCGATGAAAGAGAGACATTGATCAGCTGCCTCCTGCATGACCCCTGCTGGGGATTGAGCCTATAATCCGAGTATGTACCCTGACCAAGAATCGAACTGCGATCTCCTGGATCATAGGTTGGTGCTCAATCATTAAGCTACGCTGGCCAGGCTGGCTTGGTTTTTATTATGACTTCCATACTGCATACTGCACCATGTGGAAAGAAAGAAAGAGAGACAGCATATGTGAAAACTAACAACCTGGGCATAATGTAGCAGAAAGTATGATTCTGAATGGCAATAGAGTTTTAAAAATTTTAACTATTACTCATATAATTTTGATATGTTTATATAATTATGGTATATTAGAATAACCAAATAAATCTGGCTAAGGAATTTATGTCAAAGTATGTAAAGTTCCTCTAATTTGACATGTGGATGTTATTATTTAATCACTAATTAAGAATCCAAATTCTTTGTTGCAGTTTCATTCAAAGATGTATTATGTGTGGCTAAGAATTTTCAGAGGCCCTGGCCAGGTAGCTCACTTGGTTAGAGCATCCTCCCAATACACCAAGGTTGCAGGTTCAATCCCTGGTTAGGGACACACAAGAATCCTGTCAGGGTACATACTAGCATCAACCAATGAATATATGAGTAAGTGGAACAACAAATCAGTGTTTCTCTCTCTTCCTCCCTCTCTAAAATGAATTTTAAAAAAGAATTTGCCTCAGAGAACACTTTTAACACAAAGGTTCTTCCCCCTAATTATTTTAAATAAATATAAAGAGTGTGTATGTGCTTCCTGCATATCCATATGAACTAGGGCTTGGTACATAGATTTTAACATAAATACAAACGAGATACAAGTTGTATTTGGTTTACTGTTATACACTTTAGTTAGCAGACCATTTACTATGCTCAGAAATGCTGCCAGTGAAACACAGGGCATGAAACAAGGGACTACGAATTTTTTGAAATATATAAGACTAAGTGCTGAGTCCTTTTCCTTTCTAAAGTATCTTTGAAATAATGATATAGCCCTGCCGGTGTGGCTCAGTGGTTGAGTGTCTTTCTATGAACCAGGAGGTCACCATTCAATTCCCAGTCAGGGCACATGCCTGGGTTGTGGGGCATTCAGAAGGCAGCTAATCAATGACTCTCATCATTGATGTTTCTCTCTCTCTGTCTCCCTTCCTCTCTCTGAAATAAAAAAACAAACAAAGCTATTTTAAAGTGATATAATTTAAAGTGATATAATTTTCTCAAGAAATGTCTATGACAAGAATTAGATGATGTTTGGCATTCTTAAAGAAAATTAATAGCCCAGCTGGTGTGTCTCAGCAGTTGAGCATTGACCTATGATCCAGGAGATCTCTGTTTGATTCCCTGTCAGGGCACATGCCCGGGTTGCGGGCTCCATCCCCAGTAGGGGGCATGAAGGAGGCAGCCCATCAATGACTCTCTCATCATGGATGTTTCTCTCTCTCTCTCCCTCTCTCTGAAATCAATAAAGACATTTAAAAAAAAAACATAATGCATAAGCCTAGAGGGGTAAGTAATATATCTGGATAAGCCAACGTTTTGTCAAATATCTGAAGAAGGGATTCTAATATCTAATTATGTTAATATATAATGGAGAAATAGAATTACGGAATTCAAGATGGTTGAAGAGCAGGTGGAAGCTATACTCACCTCCTCCCAGGACCAAACTGGAATTGCAGCTAAATTAAAGAACAAGCATCCTGAATAACCAACTGAAGACTAGGTAGAGAAGTCTTATTAACCAAGGATATACAAAAGAAGCCACATTGAGACTGGTTGGAAGGGCAGAGATGTTAAAAGGGCTGGTCCTGCCCCAAAGGGTGGGAGCTGAGTTTCTGGAAGAATATATGAACTGTGTGGGAGGTTCCCCTTGAGAAGCATGGGTTCTCAACCCCAGGCAGGGCTCCACCGTCCAGAGCACTACAGCCAGGAAGATATGCTCACATAACATCTGGCTGTGAAAAGCAGTGGGATTTACGTCTGTCAGGGTGAGACAAGAGTCCACTGGAGACACAGGCACCCTCTTAAAGTGCCAACACAAAATTTCATTTGCAGTCACTTGCCCAGGGCTCCAGCAGAGGCAGGGTGGAGTGGACTAGAGTTGCCTGAGGGAAGTCTGGGGTTTGTGGTTCTGGGGAGGAAGCTGGGGGAACAGCCACCCAGATCCTTGTGCTGAGTCATTCATTCATATCACACATGCCATCTTTTTTGGGTGGAGCATTCCTGTCCCTGTAGCATCAGCCAGAGGAAAGCAATAGCCCCACCCTATGGAATCCCTCTCACCCCACCCTGGAGAGCTTAGACCCTGCTGAGGAGTCAATGGCATTGGCCAGTGGGTAGAGTTCTGGGCAACTCAGTGGGTGTCAGTAACAGTTGTGTGGCTTTGAGGTGGGGGCCATTTCACCCACTTCCCTGTGAGCCTGACACTTCCCCCTCATAGGAGATCCAATAAAACCACCATCCGGGCTTCTAGCAGACCCAACCTCTGGGCTCCAGAGGCCCCACCAACCTGACTCCTAGTGGCTCACCCCTGCCAAGGTCTGGGAAGAATCTCGGACAGACAATCTGAGTTGTGTGGGTCTGGGGTGGGGGCCAACTTCCCCTGAACCTCACAGGCACCTCCCACTCTTTTCACTCCCAGTGGCTTCTCCCTCCTGAGATGGGGCTCCTGACAGAATTTGGGAGAGAGTGAGTTGCATAGCTCTAGGACAGGAAATTTTCCTGTCAAACATCTGATCAGTACAGAGCTTTCCCTTCACAAGGGCCAAATCTTGGTTTCTTTAGGCCTGATAAACTCAGCTGCCCTCACCCTACAACTCTCTGAGACCCTGCCATACCACAAAGGTATGTGAGCACCCAGTGGGTGACAGCTATACTTAGTATAACCCTAGGACTTTTGTTGAGTGGCCTTAGACTCAGCGCTGGCACCAAGACTGAACCCATATATATTTGGAGAATATCTCTTGTCCCTACCTCGTGATTCACTGAGAACCCATTGCATGCAGTACAAGTACTGACAGAGGCTTTCAGTGACTGAGCCTAATAGGCAGGCAGCAGGCAGAGGCAGGCACAGGCAGGTGGAGGTGGACCTCAGGGTTCCTAGGGACTTTTGCTGACCTGTCCCTGGGTACAGTGCTGGTAAAAGCTAGCCTTGATGTGCAGCTTGAGTCTTCCCATGCACACACAGGCCCAGCAGAGGCTGCCACTAACTGTGGATCACTTTGTAGCCTCAAACAAGTTCCCCAGAGCCAGTCCCAGGCAGCATCTGACATTAAACTGCACCAGAGACCCTCCCAAAAGGCCCCCAAACCATCACACCCAGTAGACAGTTTCAGACAACATCAGAGCAGGATCTAATTAGCTTCACAAGCAGCATATCCAAAGAGATCTTGGCAGGCATCAGACCCTGCTGAAGCAAATTCCATTCTGAGTGGTCAGTACCTGCACAACAGCTCATACACTGTGGTGTAGGTTGATCCTCACAGCCAGCCTGAGGATTGACCCCACACATGAATTGGCCAACAGCAATCAAGACTCAGTTACAACAGAAGGGCCCACAAGGGGTATTCCTGGAGCACCCAGCGCAGGTGATCAAGCAGACTGTGCCATGAGGTCCCACAGGACACATGCTATATAAGGCACCCTACTAAGACTATGAGGCTTAGCAGATCTACCTAATACATAGAAACGAACACAAAAAGGCGGCCAAAATGGGAAAACAAAGAATCACACACCAAATGAAATAACGAGAAATCTCCAGAAAAAGAGCTAAATGAAATGGAGACAAGCAGTTTACCAGATATAGAGTTCAAAACAATAGTTATATAAATGATCAAAGAAATTAGAGGAAGAATGGATGAAATCAATGAAAACTTAACCAGAGAGAGAGTAGACATAAAAAAGGAAATAGAAACCATAAAAAGAACCAAACAAAAATGAAGAATAAAATATCTGAAATGAAAAATACACTAGAAGGAATAAATGGTAGGTTGGATGAAGCAGGGAATTGAATCAGCAATTTGGAAGATAAAGTTGAAGAAAACACACAATGATAGCAGTAAAAAGAAAAAATTTTTAAAAATGAAGATACTTCTAGCCAAGATGGTGGTGTAGGTAAAGTATTCACCTCCTCCAAAGCCACATCAAAATTACCTACAGAACAACCATCATTCAGAACCGCCAGAAATCCAGCTGAATGAAAGTCCTACAACTACGCAATTAAAGGATATAACCCTTGTA